TAGTAGGTAGTAGGTAGTAGGTAGTAGTAGGTAGTAGGTAGTAGTAGTCACAACAAGTTTAAACAAGCACAAAGAAAAGGCCAGGGACACAGGATCAAATTAATAGGGGGTAGTAGTGCAGATTATTGATGGGGGACCGGCCCTTGTGGGGGTACACTTTGTGAGCTTGTCAAATGATTGTTTTTAATTGTTTTTTAATAATGCAATTTATAGGCCCTGAGCCCTAGACATTTTTAAGGATTTCATCAAACACGTAGTAGGTAGTAGGTAGTAGGTAGTAGGCAGTAGCAGTAGCAGCAGCAGCAGCAGCAGGAGCAGTAGCAGTAGGAGTAGTAGGAGCAGTAGCAGTAGCAGTAGCAGTAGCAGTAGCAGTAGCAGCAGCAGCAGCAGCAGTAGTAGTAATACGAAAAATTGACCTGGTTGTGGGCTCGGATTAACAGGGGGGGGATTGTTGGTAGAAAACTAGACCATAGGGGGGGAAATCAACAGGCAATAATACTTTTAATTTGGGCAATTTCCGGCGGCTTTGTGGGCTCGGACTAACTAGGGGGGATTTATTAATCCTATCTTGACATTACTAAATAGTTTTGAAGACCAGGTCAACCAAATTTTAAAGATTTTTTAAGTCTTGGAAGGCTAGGGCATACAAAACGTGTCTTTCAACATGCTTTGTTGAATTGATGCTCGTCCTACCAGTATTCTTCAAGCCTTTGGCCTTTGGCCAATCAACACTGAAGAAAGGAACTCCTAGGAAGCACGCCATGCGATACTGTCTCGCCACCTGCCTGGAAAATGGATGTCGTTCAACTTCACCTGAAGCAGCAGAAATGGTTTCAAACTGCGTAAAAGGTCGGCTGCAGAAAACAAATGCAACTACTCCTGGAGTAGATGCGACATCCGAGAGTTTGTATCCTCGGCGGACTTCTGCTATCGACTATGAGTGGACGAAATGCGCTGCTCCCCCATCAATTCACATGTGACCATGGCACTTGGCCCCAGCATAGTGACACTGAAATGAATACCGAACACGATATGGATACCTTACCATTGAAAATCAGAAAGCACATGAAAGCACCCAATCCTGGGAAGCACCCCAAACATTCCCTGGTCCTCATTCTGACCATCCGAATCTGCCCAGAATCCATCTGGCGAAACCGCGAAGTCAAACATGTCATGAGGACCTTCAACTCTTCATCCCACCTGGCCTCTTCTTCAGTTCGCGCAGCTCTGCTCGATCCAAGTGAGGCAAGGTGCGGTGCTTCGAGGCGTTCAAGTTCTGCCCGAGGTCGCAGGGTCGGTCATGGTGATAAGAAGTGCTTCAGTGATCCGTTTTAAGACACCAACATTGAGAAAACGTGATCAAGTGTGCACATGAGCTGATTATAGCGATACTCTGAATTGCCAGTTCACATCCAAAACCGTGAGACATCGACGTCTGGGGCTTGGCTTTCTGCCAAGAATGCGGTCTGCAGGATCTGCAGGGCATCACCGTGTGAGACTAAGACCTGGTGCGACGACGAAACTCGTTCCTAGTAGCTTCTTGTTACTACTAGTAAGGCACTTGTTCCTAGGATTTTTTTTTTAAGAAACGAACACATGGTGAACACATGGACACAAGAAGCTACGAACGGAACAAGTGCATCGCTTCTAGTAACAAGTGCCTTACTAGTAGTAACAAGAAGCTACTAGGAACAAAAACTCATCATGTTCTTCCGACATAACGAGCAACTATCGACCATGCACCACCCTCACATGACATCTCCAGTTAAGACCATGAGCCACATCGGCGCCATCAGGAAGTTCCCGGTCTAGCCTGCAGATGAGCAAAAACCAACAAATCCCGGTCCCCAGCTTCTAACGAAGTGAAGCGTTGTCGTCTTTCGCTCGCAAATCCGCCATCAGCGAAGTCAAACTCAAAGCGAACCCTGATTCTCTGTAACCAGTCAACTCAAGGTGTTATTTTTTTGTGCTTTGCTTCTAGGTTGGAGGCCATTACTTCTAGGTTGGAGGCCGTTGCTATTAGGTTGGAGGCCATTGCTATTAGGCTGGAGGCCATCGCTACTCAGTTGGAGGCCATTGCTACTCAGTTGGAGGCCATTGCTTCTAGTAGGTTTCTCTTGTTACGAGTATCAAGTCTCTTTCATTTCTTCTCTCACGTCGTTTTTCTGCGGCTGTCAGGTCCACCTGAGCGAAGCACTTGGCCACCAACCTGGAGGTGCGTCGTTGCACGGCCTGGCTGGAAATCAGTGGGCCAGTGAATCACCTTCTTAGCCGGGCAGGGTTTGGCCAGGTAGGGTCCCACCATTTGGGTATTCTTCATTGGACTCTTTCGGAGAGTGTGCGCATCCCTGGCATTTCTACGGCATTTCTGCCCTTCGTTCCAGCAAAGGCAGACCTTCTGCAGTCCCGGGCGAACTGGAAGATCCCGGTTCGCCCGGTCGCACGCACGGTCCCTCGGCGCCGCGTTCAGCGGTCCTGCCTGAGCAGCTTCCACTCCAAAGGGTCGAGCCGCCGGGTCGTGCCGGTCTTGGGCCCAAACCTGGCGGTGTCACAGGCGTGGCGGGGCAGGTGCCGGTGGAAAGGGCTCAAAAAGGATACCACAGCTGGGTCGTGTCAGGTCCCTTCATCTTCAGAGAGCAGGGTTCCCAAAACATCCAAGCACATGACATGTTAGTTACAAAGAGACATCCGAGCGCCAGTTCCGAGCTCCCTGAACCGCGCTCCGTTCCGAGAGTGTGGGGACGCGACCAAACGCGTCGCTTCCGCGTCGCGTTCGCTTGCCGCTGCCTCCGGATAGCGAGCGTCCGAGTCCGCCTCCAAGCTGCCAAATCGCCTGCGCAGCTGCGCTCAGCTGTGGCGGTGAGGGCGCTCTCTCTCTCTCTCTCGCGCTCTCTCTCTCTCTCTCTCTCAGGTCGCAAAAGGCACCTTCTCCCAAGTGATTTGAACAGAAACACCACCAAAGGATTTTCAGAACCCTAGAGACTACAGTATCCCATAGGTACCTTAGTAGGGTCCTATAAGATCCTATAAGGTCACTTAACCTCTCTTGGCAATTCCAAGAGGTATTGATGTGTCAGGCTGGTCAGCATCTGGGCCTTACCCTTCTCATTCTGAGACCATTGGGGCGGCAAAGGGCTGGACCATTGGGGTGACAAAGGGCTGGCCTTCGCACTATTGAAGCGGCGTAGCTACGCGTAGCTAGCTTAGGCCATACTGGCTCAACAACCTGTTCACAATCGAGGTTTTCTGCGTGTCATGCCCCTGAAACAGTGTCTGGAGCTCAAAGAAGGAGAAACCATGTACCGACGTGTGTCGCCGTCGCCCCTCCTGTGGAAACCACAAGATCTCCCAAATGTTCTCACTGGCAGGTTGCCACTGAAAAGGTGAGTGAAACTGGTGAAGGGAACGACCCGAGCCTTTCTCGCAACTCCTTGGCGATCCGTAAGGGGCAAATTCGCCCGGCCTGGCGCCGCATGCGCGTGCGCGTGGGCTCGGCATGTGGCTGGGGTTCAGGGGTGGGCTTTTGTACCCCTAATCGATCAAAGAACTCTTAGATCAGCGTCTGACCGCTCCGTTCGTAGCGATGCCCTTTGTTACTAGTAGCTTCTTGTTCCTAGTAGTAAGGCCAGGAGCGACCCTAGTAGCGTCCTTGCTCCTAGTAGCGATCTGAACCATGAGCGCCATGCTGATATCGCACTGCATGGTGAAAGTCTCCGACAGGCTCAGGCGGAAAACAGGAACTGCAACGTGCACCTTGCGCAACGCTTGGGCGAAGAGCTGCGCCGTCTGCTTCGCCCGTGAAAAGTCACTGCTCCTGAGTCCACAGGTCCACACGGTTTCCGGTGAGGTGGGTGCACACCGCTTGGAGCGCCCAGCGCCAACGATGTGGCACCCAGAAACCGATCCGGTCAGGGTACGTCGAAGTCTGAGGCCCCTGGCACCATCACCACACCTTGGGATGGGGGAAAGATGAGAAGACATTTAGCACCAAAATGCATAACTCTGCTGCAAAAGTGCTCCAAAAAGTATGTGCTTTTCATGAACTTATGGACGCTATTAAGTGGAGGCCATCGCAAGTCGGTTGGAGGCCATCGCTACTAGGAACAAGAACCTACTAGTATCCATGAACTAGCTTATTGAACTCACGTCTGATCTCGAACTCACTCAGCCACGACACGCTTTGCAGCGGTTTTCTTGAACATCTGCCCGGCACGGGTAGCACCTTTGCGTCCTGCAACTGGCATGCCGTGCAGGGTTGCAAGTGCTGTTTGCAGCCATTTCACAAACGAACTTCTAGATACCAAAACATCTAGGTTCACACTGCTGCTCTACTGGTCGCGAACATTCCTCAAACAAGTTGGTGCGCTCGAAACAAATTTCGGTGCAAACATTGTTGCCTCATTCAAACATCTCAGACCGGATAGCGACTCCAGCAAAACATGGAGTGTAACACCTGCTGCCGTCAGACCGAATGCTTTCGTGCCCACCTGCGGCGAGACCCACCAATTGCGCGTTTGGAGCGGAGCAAAATAGAATCAATTAAAGAACATACAAACAGCTGAACCATACCGCAAAGTTGGAAAACAACTCTACAATCCGTCTTGAAACTGGTTCCAAGTTGAAGCTGCCTTTGGATCAGAAATAATGATCTTGGCCACGTTGGCTTCGGACCTGAAACGTTGGCTTCGGCTGCCGCGATGCGTTCACGGCGGGGTGGCCAGGCCAGCAGCCGGTAGTGAACGATCAAAGAAGTGCAAGAGTCCTGGGAGCTGTGGTGCTATATTATGATGTGTTTATCCATGTTTATCCTATAGTCATCCAAGACCGCCATACATTGGGTTTCATGATTCATGATGGCTGTGGACGATTGAACCAGGGTCCCCCGGTGCCATGACCCGCGCGGACGCTGCGCAGGCCAGGGACTCACCATGGCGCAGGGCGAAGAAGCGATGACGCCTCAGTGATTCGCTCAAGTGACGCGTGAGCGATCTCCACAAGTTCTAAAGAATCGCAACCTACCAGCAATTGCCTCCAACCTACCAGCGATGGACTCCAACCTACTAGCGATGGCCTCCAACCTAAGAGTGATGGCCTCCACCCTAC